GATCAGCTGTTTGTCGGCTCAGCGCGGCAGCCATGTAAATTTAAATGAAGCGGCGATTATTTAAATCGCCGCTTCATTTTACTATGTCGGGTAGCCTAATCGACATGCCTCTGGCGACAGAGGCATGTAGTCTAGACGTACCCTAAGTTGATGGTGCATTGTTTGAAATACTTCCGTCTGCTTGTTTTTAACCTCCTGCCCTAAATTTCATCGAGTGACTTCTGATTCTTTGTGTTATGTGAAAGGGCAGACATCACTTTTCTAATCACTTTCTCCATACCAATAAGGAGCGTATACACTGCTATTGGATGCCCCATAGTTATCTCTTTTTTAAATGAACAGTTGCAGTCTTTTTAATCTCTCCTCATAAGCAAGCTATTCTATACCACTATACATTTTGTTGTCATTCTCTGTGCCTTTTCCATTTCATTCCTATATATTTTAATGGGGCAAGAGGAACTACACACAGTATTCAGGGTGTGGGCAAACTGAACATTCATATAATGGCATTAGGCTGTTTTTTCTTATTATCGAATAGTTCCTTTCCTAATGGTTCCTAACATTCTCTCATTTTTTTTACTGTCCCTGCACAGAGTCTGTTTGTAGAGAACACACTGAAACAACAATAACTGCAAAATCTCTAGAGTTGTAACAGCTAATTTAGACACCATCATTTTGTACGTTTAAGTGGGATTTATTTTTTCATTGTGTATTACTTCGCACTTATCAAAGTTGAATTTAATTAGCCATTTTAGTGAGAGCCCTTTTTAACTCTTCAGTCAGCTTTGGACTTAATTATATTGAGTAATTTTATATTGTCTGCAAATGTTGCCACTTTATCCGTTGTTCTGATCATTTATGAATATGTCAACAGCATGGATGCCAGTTCAAATCTTTGGGAGGAGCCCACTATTTTCTTCTCCACTGTGAAAACTGATCACTTACTCCTAGCCTTTGTTTCCTTTTAACTAGTTTCTGATCAACAAAAGGCCCTACCCACACAGCTCATACCTACTGCTGAAAAGAAGAGTACACCAAATCAACTGATCTCCCATATCCATGTTTGTAGACACTTTTAAAGATTCTAGTAGATTGGTGAGGAACGATATCCCTTTATAAAGCCATATTGTCTCTTATCCAACATACCACGTTCATCTATGTGTCTGATAATTTTGTTCTTTACTAATTTCGACCAAGTTACCTGATACTGAAGTTAGGCTTAGTGACCTGTAATTGCCAGGACTGCCTCTGACGCCTTTTTTAAAAATCAGCATTACTTTAATTAACCCCCCACCTTAGCCAACTTTTACAGAGGCTGATTTGAATGGCAAGTTACATACTAAAGTTAGTAGTTCTGCAATTTCATGTTGAGTTTCTTCTGAACTCTTTGAGCACCAGTTGGTCCTATTGACTTACTATTGTTTAATTTATCAGTTTGTTCCAGAACCTCCTCTAGAGCCACCTCAGTCTGTGACAGTTCCTCATAGTTGTTACCTAAAAAGAACATCTCAGATATGGGGCTCACCCCCACATTCTTTGCGGTGAAGAGGAATACAAAGAAATCATTTAGCTTTTCAGATGATCTTGTCTCCTTTGAATGCCCCTTTAGCACCTCCATCATGCCGTGGCCCCCTTACTGTTTGGCAGGCTTCCTGCTTCTGAGGTACTACTCAAAATAATATGTGCTGTTAGATTTTGGTCTTTCAGTCATTACTCTTCATAGTCTTTCTTGGTCTGCCTTACTATACTTTTACACATGATCTACCAGAGTTTTTAAAGGATGCCTTTTGCCTCCAACAGTCTCTTTTACTCTGTTTGACCATGGTAGCATTTTTTGCTCTTACTTTTTTTAATTTGGGGTATGGTGTTTAAACAGAGTCTATGCAGTTTGTAACTGTTCCTTTTAATTTCCATTTAACTAGCTTCCTCATTTTTGTGTAGCTCCCCTTTTTGAAATATGAAGATATTTAAGGCTCAGTCTTTTGAAAAATGCTCTTTCAACTTTTTTCTCTATCCCTCTTCTTCCAGAAGAGCATTATGTGAACCCATTGGTCTGGAATGGTGTGAAGACTGAGCAGAAGGGAAATTCATAGAGACGAAAATAAATGTCTCATTTACTGCAATCTTGTGGTCTAAACAGAGGAAACCACAGCCAGATGTCAGTGTTTGTGTGCAGGGAAGGGGGATAACATGAGGACTTTTGCATTCCTGAGATTACAGAGCACTGCAGACATTCAAAGTGTACAACTCTTATCTATGGCAAAGGGAGGCTTTTAGAAGTACAGAAGCTAAGTTTGCACAGTAGGTACCTGTCTGTTACTCATTCTTTCAAATTATATTTAAAGCATCCATCCATTGCTCTGTTTACGTGCCAAACCTGGCAGGAAC